GTCTCCAAGGACGCCCCCAAGGGATGGTCCAAGGAGAAAGTCTGGTGCAAATGGTGGAGAAAAGGAGATCTCTCCTGAACAGTTCGATGATGATGAGGAGGATTTTATGGTTTATGACGAAGATACCAAAATGACGGAACTGTTGATGGAGGCGATTTCATTTCTGTCCGGTGGCAAGCCAGATTTGGCTCGAGCAGAGGCGGACCCATTGTTCAAACTCCTGAAGTTCACTGGAGATGCTGACCAAATGGATCAAGAATGGGTTTCGTGGACCACTGAAATGTTGACCGTGCTGGAACTTCTCGAAGTAGTGAAGTCGTATGAGGTTTCGCTCGCGGAGGTGGAAGAATGGGTCAATGACCTGAGGATATGGTATGAGCGAGCCAATTTGGGAGAAGAAAAGGATTCCAAAAGAGGCAAAAAGAGGTCCCTAGAAAGGGAGTCCAGCAAGGATATTCCTGCCGAAAAAGAAGTGGTTGAGACTTCGGAGACGGAGGTTGCCGTTGAAGAAGAGAAGAAAAAGGTAAAAAAGAAGAGGAAAGCTGCAGCTATCGAAGATCCTTACACTCTCATGGTTCCAAAGCCGAAGAAGATGCCGACGATCATTGAGAAGGGTGGATCAACATCCAATGTGGTGGCTTCTGCAGTGGAAAAATCCTCGAAGACGCGCACGACGTCAAATGTCGGTGGAAAGACAAAGAAGAGGGAGAAAAGTCAGAGTCCCAAAAAAAGAAGAGGTGGTAATGGTGCAGGGTCCTGAGGAAAAGGATCGTCCATCTGATGCGGATGTACCTGTGTCCACCGCTGTGAATGCAGAGCTGGGTCAATCGTGCCAAGCGATTGAGGACGCAAAGAGAGAAGGATTGGTATCCTCAATTCAAAGGTGCGTACAGGATCCTGTGCTTACAGTTTCGGACCTGGAGTATATTCTGCTGCAACTTCACCTCAAGATTGCCAACAATCGGAAAAAGAAGTGATTGGATGGTATGGATGAAGGGATGGTTTTTCTCTTTCTGGAGACAGGTGCGCTGGAACAGCCAATGTGCTGACAATGTGGTGGTTACTATTAAGGGTATGGAAATCCCTGATAGTGGAAGTCAGTAGCTTTTCGCGTAGCGAAGACCACGGTTTGTGGTGAAGAAGGCCAAGGAGTCTTCAGTGATGAGAGGATCATGGTGAAAAGAGATTCTCTGTGGTTAGTGGGTTAGCCAATGTGCTATAATTCCGTCCTGGATGACGTTAAACCATATTTTGCATTTTCAAGCAGCTGGCTGCTGCTTTAATGGCAGTTTTTGGCCAAAACATCTGCACCTCCAAGGTGTCCTAGGAAATCCTAGGACAGGGGGAGTGCGGAGCTGCAACTGGTATTGTAGAAAAGAGTTAGTGTTGAGAGTTGGAAGGGTTAATGAACCCGGAAATCATGTTTGGCTCAAGATGAGCTTGAACAGAAAGCCACAAGTTCAAAAAGTAGTGCCTGGGTTCTTAGGGTTAGGTAAGGGTGTGGATTCCTTCCCCCTTTCCTTCCCCCCTGGGTTGCTCTTATCCGTGTTCTTGTTTGTTTCTTGGTTCGATCTGGGGAATATAAGTTCAGGGCGATTAGGGGAGTTGATTTCCTTCCTTGGTTGTCCCCCCGTATAGGGTTTGGGGTTTGGGGTTTAATCAACGCCGAGTTCCTCAAGGCCGGAGCACGTGGCATGCAGACGCCGCCAAGCGCCGCGACTGGGCCACGGTCAAGTCTCTGCTTGAGACAGACCCAGGGTACATCAACGTGCAGCCTGCAGGACGCTGGACGGCGCTTCATCAGTTTGCACAGGCGGGGGACGCCGAGGCGGTGAAATACCTGCTGAGCAAGGGTGCCGACGAGGCAGCCAAGACCAAGGAAGGCAAGACGCCTCTTCAAGTAGCCCATTCAAGCGTCGCCGCGCTGCTCAGCGGTACGGGTGGTTTAAGGGCTTAGGGTTTACGTTCTCTCTTTTTTGCAGAATCTGGGGGGGGGGGATTCCCAAAATAGGGGTACCCTTGTTATGTTGTTGGGGGTTCCTTTAGCAGGATTATATGGTATGTTGGGGTATATAAGGGGTACGGTCAAAACTTATGATAAGAAAGGTTCGAAGGTCCACCAGAGTCTGGGACATTTCTTAACCAGGCAGATGTATTAAGAAAGGTAGATTTGAGGCGAGAGTCTTGAAAACATTTCTTATTCAACCTGACCAACCCTTTGCTTTCTCCGCCCTCCAGCCCTCCAGCCCTCCAGCCCTCCAGCCCTCCAGCCCTCCAGCCCTCCAGCCCTCCAGCCCTCCAGCCCTCCCCTCCAGCCCTCCCCTCTCCAGCCCTCCAGCCCTCCAGCCCTCCAGCAGCCTCCAGCAGCCCTCCAGCCCTCCAGCCCTCCAGCCCTCCAGCCCTCCAGCCCTCCAGCCCTCCAGCCCTCCAGCCCTCCAGCCCTCCAGCCCTCCAGCCCTCCAGCCCTCCAGCAGCCCTCCAGCCCTCCAGCCCCAAAGATTTTGGAGCAAGAAAGGATTCAGATTGACAGGTCTAGGAGGGGGACCCTAAACCCCGAACCCTGAAACATGAACCCTAAACCCTAAACCCTAAACCCTAAACCCTAAACCCTAAACCCTAAACCCTAAACCCTAAACCCTAAACCCTAAACCCTAAACCCGAAACCCTAAACCCTAAACCCTAAACCCTAAACCCTAAACCCTAAACCCTCTAAGCCCTAAGCCCTAAGCCCTAAACCCGCCCGCCACCCCTCTCACTTCTGTTGGGGTAGGCGGGCGCTGTCGAGCGCAGCGAGACCAAGCAGGCTGAGCTGGGCAGCGAAGCCTGCAGGCAACACCCCTGAGGAGAGTCGCCTAGCTAGAGTCGCCTAGCAAAGTCCCTAAGTATATTTTATTACCCTAAACCTGGCCATTTTGCTGGGCGGAGGCGCGCCCTTTAAAACGGATACCCCCCCCCCCTATCCGAATTCAATTTCGGGGGGGTCCGGGCCTTTAAAACGGATACCCCCCCCCCCCCCCCCTATCCGAAGTGAATTTGGGGGCTGCCCGGGCCTTTCCAGGATACCCCCCCCCTATCCGAATTCAATTGCGGGGGCCCAGGCCTTGAAAACCCCCCCCCTAGCCGAAGTGAATTTGGGGGGCTGCCCGGGCCTTTAACCAGGATACCCCCCCCCTATCCGAATTCAATTGCGGGGGGTTTCGGGCCTTTTGGGGGCTGCCCGGGCCTTTAACCAGGATACCCCCCCCTATCCGAATTCAACTGCGGGGGGGCCCTGGGCCTTTAAAACGGATACCCCCCCCCTATCCGAAGTGAATTTGGGGGCAGGCCTTTAACCAGGATACCCCCCCCCTATCCGAATTCAATTGCGGGGGCCCATACCCCCCCCCCTATCCGAATTCAATTTGGGGCTGCCCGGGCCTTTGACCAGGATACCCCCCCTATCCGAATTCAATTGCCGGAGGGGTCAATGCTTGGCGGAGGCGTACGGATCCCCCCCCCTATCCGAAGTGAATTTGGGGCCTTTAACAAGGATACCCCCCCCCCTATCCGAATTCAATTGCCGGGGGGTCAATTTCGGGGGGGCTGCCCGGGCCTTGAAACGATACCCCCCCGTTTAGGGGCTGGCCGGGCCTTTCTTCCTTCCGAAGTCAATTCAGGGGGGGGCCGTGGCCTTTACAGGATACCCTTCGGGCAGGGGCCTTCCCCCAACGTCAAACCCGGCTTTTCTCTCGGAAGCTTCTAGACATGACCTTCACACGGTATCTTTAGAACAACAGGTCTTTTGCCACGCAGCCTTGACACTCCGTCAAAGTGAATAGAAACAATGCGCAGGCCCTCCGGCCGAAGACGTCCCCCAACGCAAAACCTGGGTTTTCTTTCGGAGACGTCCCCCAACGCAAACCTGGTTTTTCTCTCGGAAACTTCTAGACATGACCTTCGCGCGGTATCTTTGGAACAACAAGCCTTTTGGCCCAACGTCTCCAAAATTCCTAATTCTAATGACTTTCTCAAAACATCTTCTTAAATGTTACCTGGCAGCAAGGCATCTTCGTAGGCAAGCTCCATGACATCGGAAAGCATACTAGGTATTAGTCCGAAGTACAGTGGTGGATGCAGGAGTATTTGAAGGTGGGCTGGCTTTGGTTTGGCTGGTTCCGGCATGGTTTCGTTTTGAGTTGTGATAGGGTGGCCTTGGGGTGGGCATATCTGCATACTATTGCGTTCAACTGACCCGTGCTACACCCTAAACCCTAAACCCTAAACCCTAAACCCTAAACCCTTAACCCTAAACCCTAAACCCTAAACCCTAAACCCTAAACCCTAAACCCTAAACCCTAAACCCTAAACCCTAAACCCTAAACCCTAAACCCTAAACCGTTCATGTGGAAGCATCCTGGGGCTTGCATAAAGGGCATTCTTCTAAAACCCTGAACCCTGAACCGTGAACCTGGAGGGCTGGAGGGCTGGAGGGCTGTGGAGGGCTGGGGAGGGCTGGGGAGGGCTGGAGGGGCTGGAGCCTTGCAAAAAGGCCATTCAATTTGTAATTACGTTTGGGTTGCGATTCAGACTCTGAATATAATTATTTTTCTCAATTCGAGAGTCTAATTTCTTGCTTCATAAAATTTCTTAACACAAAGTTCCACCGTAATTGTAGTGGAATCGGGGGGGGGGTTTCGAAGACAGGGGTTATTTAGGGGTTCTTTAGGGGTTCTTTAGGTACGTAGGGACTTTTCGGTAAAACATTGGGGTTATGTATTGGTTGTTTAGGGGGACTCTTGGGAAATCCCCTTCTTCCTTCCCCCCCACGACCTCTGTGCTTTTTTCTCAAGCGTCCTCTTGACTCGAACCTCTCGAAATCTCCTTCCTTGCTCACGGTGTCGCCTTCTGTGCCTCGAACCCTAAACCCTAAACCCTAAACCCGAAACCCGAAACCCGAAGCCCGAAACCCTAAACCCTAAACCCTAAGCCCCAGACCCTAAGCCCTAAACCCGAAATCCCAGATCATGGGCGGCGTGGACCTTCCGGACCTGTCAGCCCTTGTTCCAGGCTCTCGGGGGTTGCAGGGTGTGGCCGTTGCCCCCACTCCAAGTGAGCCATGAGGCCCTCAACATCCCTCCACCCTTCCTAACACCATTCCCTAAACCCTAAACCCTAAACCCTAAGCCCTAAGCCCTAAGCCCTAAGCCCTAAGCCCTAAGCAGCCCTGAGCCGTAAAGCCCTAAGCCCCTAAGCCCGAAACCCTGCAGAAGAGCCTTAAAGATGACGGCCCCCGCTTTCAATGCTGAGTCATCGCTCGCAAGAACACTCTATGAGTCGGCATCATTTTTTCGCAGGGGGTGCAAGGATAAGGGCGGCCCAGATGTTTTTCAAGCAACCAAGAAGTAAATGGGTCCTTTGGAGGCCCAGGAAGAACATGATCAGAAGCGTGCTTTCGGGTTTGCGGGCGGGCTTGGCTTCTAAGCGCCTGCCTGAAAGCAACATAACACCATTGTGGTGTTATTTCGAGTATAGCATGTGCTTCTTGCATAGGGTGTTGGGTGTTAGGTTCCTTGGGTTGCCGCTTGTGGAGTAATTAACCCCCTTTGATTTGAGTCTGCAGGTTTCGACGAGACGCCTGACATCGCAAGCCTCCTCGAAGGTATGATGCAGGCCTCAGCAAGACGACTTAGGGACTGGGTAGGTTACCTTTAACCTTTGTGTAGCATGTCTCACGCTCGACGCCGGGGACTTGCTGTGCACACGTCGCGCTTTAACCTTTTTGGTTACATAGAATCCTACTATACAAGCTTAAGGGTATTCAGCCCCTGAGACAAGGCTTAGTCGCCCCCCCTCTCCTCCTTGCTGTTTGTTGGCACGCAGCCAACAAACCTTGCTTGTTGGAACACACAAGCAACATAGTTAAGCATTCACATGCGCACACAAAGAAGATCCGTAGATGCTCTCCGCCACTGGGTGGCGCCCTTCTTTGGTGGCATTCGTCCGTAACCCGAAACCGTAGCCACCGTCTCAAGCTTGGGATGCTTTCGCAGGCTGAAAGGCGTCCGAAAGCCCCCGAAACTAAGCCCTGTAAACCCTATGGTACCAGTACGGTTGACGAAAACAGGAGACCCCTAAAACAGAACCCCCCCCCCCCCCCCCCCGCGCAATATTTAGGATCCCTGAGAGTAAGGATCCCCAATCAAGTACCCCCCAAATATCGCAAACCCCCCAATTTTTTGCACCTCCTAAATTGAAGCCCTCTTCTGTGCTTCTGAAGGGGGGTGGTGGTGCAGAGTTCCCCGCCGAGCTGATGGGGACAGGCATCTGCGAGGGCGCCTTCGTTGCTGAGTGTGTGTAGGGCTTCGGTCATTTTTTTTGGTTTTGCCAGAAACGTCGTGTTCTGCTTTTTCTGGTCCCAATAAGAAGAGCGCGGTATGTTGTCTGGGCTTGTGAGCCCAAGCAACTCAGGTGAAGACCAGCACAAGCTGATGAAGCATCTGAACGGTACGCAGGACTCTTTACAAGAGAGTTCGGCCCCCCAGCCCCATGAAGCCCACGTATGCACCGAAAACCCTAAGGCCTAAACCCTAAACCCTAAACCCTAAACCCTAAACCCTAAACCCTAAACCCTAGACCCTATGCACCGAAACCCCAAGAGAGAGCAAGCGTCGTGTGAAGGAGTCCGTGGCCAGGATCAGCGACGCAGACATGGTCTCCGCCCCAGCGGGATAAGCACGGCATGCGTTCCAGGGGTCGGGGGGGGGGGGGGTGCGGGGGGGCAGGGCGGGTGCGGCTTTGGATCCTTCAGGGGCATTTGTATGTTCTGTTGCCATCGCGCTGGCGAATGCTGATGATTCAGCCTGCAATTCGATCCTCGCCCTCCCCTTGGGGCAGAACCTGAAGGAAGAAGCGAACCAACGGGATGCCGTCAATACACGAGCTGCCCCTGATCTCGGGCTGAGGGCGCATGTATTCAATGTATTCGCTCCGTTTCCGGCACAAGAGCATCACTGCCAGACAGCTTGGGCATTCGTAGGCCCTGCCGCCGAACAAGGCATGTGCCCACTCGGCCACTCAATCCTCCAGTGCAGAGCGCGTGAGTCCCATTGCAAAATCGCCGGATCTCCAAGATAGACACGGGGGGGCTTGGGGCTTAGGGTCTAGGCGGTCTAGGCTCTGCGTTTTCCCGCGGTTCGGGTGACTTTACGGCGGCTGGGCCAACGTTCGCTGACCGCTCGTAGTACGATTCGGGCCGGGGCATCTACAAAGCATGATGTTATGTAATCTTCAGGTTGGGCCCTAAAGGTTTCGTAGGAAGTCACCGGCACCTCAATGTTCCAAGGTCAAGGCTTTCTTCCACGCAGGCGAAATCTCCTGTGATGTCACAGAGGCTGGCGAGGCGCGTCAGGCATGTTTTGGGCCCTGAACTGAATCCGCTGTACCACTTCATTGTCTTGAATGTCGCATAAAGGTTTTCTCAACTCTGAGAATATCCCGCACCCCCCTCCCACACGACGAACCCACTTGGAGGTTCAGGGTACTTCGTAACCCAACTATAGCTGTACCTGTAGCCCAATTATAACCCTATTGGGGTACTTCAGGGGCTTATAAGTGGGTTCTAGCTACACGTAAAATGGGTTACCCTAAACCCTAAACCCTGAACCCGAACCCTGAACCCTGAACCCTAAACCCTAAACCCCCTGAACCTAGAGTTAGGTTCAGAGGTCTAAAGGGGTTAGGGGGGGTTTAGGGGGTTCAGGGAAAGCCCCCCCAATCCTTATCTACCTTAATTCAGATGTCCTTTCTTGGCTTCTGCTCTCCTGTAGTTCTCATACCGCGCCAGTGTGTACTATACCAATATTGAAATAGTTAAGGATGCAAAAAAAAGGCGAACATCTGGCATCCGACCTCCCCAGATGTTCCGAAGCCAGCCGTCGGGGGATCAGGGTGGGGGGGGGGGGGGCAAACTTCGCGACGTGAGAAGAAGATGAGCCTGAATCCTTCCCACGTTCATCGCAGGAGCCATTCTCCTGCAAGCATAAGATGTTTAGGGTTTAGGGTTTAGGGTCTAGGGTTTAGGGTTTGGGGTTTGGGGTTTAGGGTTTAGGGCTTAGGGTTTAGGGTGCCAGATCGTCGCCGCTGTCTTTAGCGACATTCTCGACGTGGGCGAGCTCGTGCTGGACTTCATCACCATCGTGACTCTCGGGCGTCCTATTTGGGCAGTTGCCGGGTTTAGGGTTTAGGGTTTAGGGTTTCCCAACCTTTTTTTTACCCATGATAAGGAGGCACCCTTACCCAATGTGCAGGGCAGGCTCGAAGACCAGATCAGCTCAAGCAAGCAAGCCCTAGACGTTGTCTGTGCGGAGGAAGAGGCTGCCCTTTGTGAAGATCATCGCCGAAATCCTGGAGCCACCCATCAAGATGGCCACTTGAGCGTGACGGGCAAACATGGGGCTCATGATTTTAGCTTAGGATTTCAGGCTTATGGTTCTTGCAGACAATAGCACCCTCGGCCGCCAACCCTCACAAATCCAGAAACGTAAGCTTCCGATGTGAGACCTCTAGTTACCATTGGGCAAACGGCTCTGTCGCTGAGACGTCGGACTCTGAGAAGTTCTTGCCTGATTCTGCTTAAGGTGGCCAAGGCGCTGAAGAAGATATTGGGGAAAGTCAAGGACTTCTTGGAAGACAAGATGCTGCCCAAAACAGAAAAGCTTTGCGAGTTCGCCGCCGACCTGGCGCTGAAGCTGGACTACTTGAGGCCAGCGACCGAGTTCCAGACCCCCCCCTTTTTTGAAAACAGTGAGATTCATCTGTTTAGGCCCCTCAGAGTCAAGTTTCTACAGTGGAGATTCGAGATGCTCCAGCACCTGTTAGTGTCGGCTGAGGACGGCGGTGGACATGTCCAAGGTGGCAGCTTTTCCCCCATTTCCACAACTCAAGCAGATCGGTTCCGCCATCATGGCGCCGCGGACGATCTCAGTTTGTCTTTGTGTGCGTTTTCTCCCATCTGCTTAGCTCTGACAAAGCGTTCAGTAAAAAAACTCCCCCCCCCCCCCCTTAAATAAGGCCCCCTTTTTGTTGGGGCCCCTACGGTATGGTTCCTGATCCTTAAACTCCAACAGCCAGCCCCCCAAGGTTTGTGAATGGATGCCCCCGCTCATCGGCGTGATGGATTTTGCCATGAAAGCCATCGCAGAGATGACCACTTTCGGGGGCCCCACTCCTAGCTTCGGGAAGTCAAGTGTGCTCTCGTATGGTTGTCATTGTTGGAAGGTTTTTTGCTTTCAAGCGTCTGACGCCGCTGTGGACTCCCCTAATAAGCCGAGATCGCGCCACGACTCTTTGCGTAAGGTAGGATCTAACGCTGGTGGGGGGGGGGCAGACTGACAGCAAGTCGTCGCTGTGGTACCCTGAGGAGGTTAGAATGATTGGGCTATAAGGTGCAGTTATACTTGGGTTACCAAGTACCCTAAACCTCCAAGTTGCTGGTAGCAAGTCCAGTCGTCGTAGTGGCAGTAGTGAAGTCTGAAGAGAAAGTTGCCGCACCAGGGGCCGCAACAATTGTGCTTGTGTGGCGAGCCTCTTCGTCGGATCCTCTTCTGGGCCTCTTGTTGGCTTCTCAAGTGGAAGGAGCTCGCAGATCCCTTGAACATGTTTATGGGAATTTGCTGGAAACCGTTTTCCTCATGAAGCCGGGCCCGAATTCGTGGAACTCGCTCACGAAACAGAACTTTCTGGCGCGCGAAGCTCCCGGCGAAATCCTTTACTTCCCTTCCCCCCCCCCCCCCCCCCCCCCCCCACCCACCTTACAAAGCGCACCCCAGCATGATTGTCTGCACCACGCGTGCCGGGGGTCCATGCCGCCGGGTTTGCACAGCCCGCGGAGAAGGCGGGGGAATGATGACACCTGGTGCCACTTGTGATGCTCCATGAGTCGGCCCAACCGTTCTCCCCCCAAAAACCCTAAACCCTTGCCTAAACCCTAGATTCACCCTAAACTCTTGACCCTTTAAACCCTAGACCCCAAACTAAAAGCCCTAGACCCTTGATCCTAAACCCGAAACCCGAAACCCTAAACCTGTCCTTCTTGTCGTTGCGCGTTCAGCGTTTTCCCCCCTCGAAGTCCTTTCGCTTCCAGCACGGCACGGCTCAGCTCACGGTGCTTCTTCTGAGGTATGGACTCGAAGTTCTTGTCCACCATTACCTTCTGGGTCGAGGAGTGGTTTCCAAGGCCTCTCTGACAACGGTTTTTTGAATATGAAGCTTTCCCGAAAGCCCCCCGAAAATCCCCACCCCACCCCACCCCAACCCTCACAAGAAGGGAAGACTGAACTAGAACCATTTCCTTCAAGTACCCCTCTCGTAACTCCGCGCCCTATCCCGTTGTAAGAACCTCTTGCTTTCTTGGCGCTCTACCTTGAAGCCTCTGAGAGCCCTAAACCCTAAACCCTAGTGAGAATCACCCCATTTTAGGTATCGCTCCGAGTCCGTGTGACCCAGTCTCTAGGGCCTCAGCCCTAGGACCCTGACCTTATTTTCCTTCTAAAGTCTTACCCAACTTTCTTCCCCTAACTAGGGCGAACCTTAAGTCACTCCCTTGCAGACGTCTTGAGCTCACTGGAAGCCAGGAAAATACGTAGTGGACCGGAGAAGCCCAGCCTCAAAACCCTAAACCTACACACTGAGCCCTAGCTGGCCCTAACTCTAAACCCCCAACCCTAAAACCCTAAACCCTAAAACCTTTCTTGCTCCTGTGAGGCCTCTCATCGATGCCTTCAAGGGCATTGCCTCCGCATTCAACAGCTTCATGGGCCCAGTGAGGTCGGTCAACAAGTTCTTGAAAAAGAAGCACAAGGTGTGCCTTCTGTGGGAGTGCTTCACCTTTTCGATCAGAGGCCTGCTGCAGAACCTGAGCGGCTTCTTGCAAGACATCTTCGACTTTGCCCTGTCGCCCTTCAAGAAGCTCATCCGCGAGCTCACGAAGCCGATGACGGACCAGATCAAGAAGTGGCTGCTGGACGCGCTGCCCATCCCCAAGATCGACGCGGCCTCGGATTTGAAGGACATGTTCAACTCGGAGCCAGTGCAAGATATCAGGGAGCACCTGGTCTGCTCAGTATGCCAGCATCCCTGATCTCACGCTTTTGTTATAAGCCTTAACCCCAATTCTCGTGGCTCAGTGTCTAGGTAGTCTTGCAGCACGTTCTCCTGTTTCGATCTTGTTGCTCATTTCTAGAAGGTCTGGGCACACGCTCCGTGCACTCTCAGGAATGGCTTCGCCGGAAAGGTAGACGAAGCAGTGACGGCAGCCAGAGAAGCCACCAGCTACTGCTATTCCTACGGCACCGTGGTCCCTGCGGAGTCGCGCGGCTGCAATGCAGAAGCCCAGTTCATCCTGCCCCCCAGACCAGAATTCTGCGATTTTGATCAAAGCTGTGTCTGTGTGTTTCCGTGCACCGCATGCCTCCCCCAATTCCTAAGCCCTAAACCCGAAAATGGGTGTACACATGCTTGTATGAGTCTTCGAGTCTTTCAGGGCTGCCGTGTGCAGCGATCTCTCAAGATATGTCTCGATGCCGTTCCAGTGCATGGAGCTGTGCCAGGAGAGGGGATGCGCAATGTAGGGTTTAGGTCTTTAGGGTGTAGGGTTTAGGGTTTAGGGTTTAGGGGGTGTAGAGCTTAGGGCTGTGTAAGGGTGTGTAAGGGTGATGTCAGAGACTTCGCAGCGACTTGGTCGTGGCATCGAGAACAACTAGCGGAGGGCAGTGGGCGTCACTTTACATGCCGTTCCCAACTTTCTCAGGGCCCGAAATTCACGGAATCACCCTAAACCCTAAACCCGAAACCCTAAACCCTAGACCCTAGACCCCAGACCCTAGAACCCTCAAACCTAGATGAACCCCAAACCCGAACCCCCTAACCCCCAGACTTCCAGGAGTGCCCGGGTTGTGTGCGCTGGACATTCCTCAAGGAGTCGGAAAGTCCGCCGAAGGGAAGATGCAGGTTGGCGGATAGCGAGGCGCCATCGGAGGGGCGAAGAAATGCAGAGATCAGGATGAGACGGACAGGGGAAAGTGGCGGGGGGTTTCCAAAACAGGGGTGCCCTCTTTGGGGCGTCCCTTTAAGGAGATTCTATCTGTTTGGGTATAACAGGGGTACCCCTACGTCCCTTTAAGGAGATTCTATCTATTTTGGGTATATCAGGGGTACCCCTATCTTGGGAAACCCTCAAATAAGCCCCAGGAGAGGGGGAATTTAAATGGAACTTAGGATCTTTTTCAGATGAATTGAGAAGATGTTCAGTACATCTCAGTACCTTCAACAGCCAGGGGTTTGGTTGTTTGGTGGGTTGGCTTGCCACATCCGCCGAAGTACTCCCAGCCAATGTCAAACATGCACGCCAACATGGGGGAATGTAACGCCAAGCCCTCAATGTTTGACTCCGTGTTTGATATGCCTACTTCTTCCGTCGACCTGTTTTTGCCCCTCCATGCATATGCGCTGCTTCACGCGCCGCCTAAGATATCTGTCCAACTGTAGTGTGAATTGCTAGGGCCAGAGTGCTTCAAGTGCCGAGAGCAGTACACCAGAAGCAGCTCGGCCATTTGACTAAGTGCTTTCTGGCAGCAGATCCTCGGACAGAAAAACGAATTACTAGCTATAGAGATACGCTGGTAACAGATGGTTACACATAAATCACTGCTGGTTCATCCGACGCCGCCTGCGGGTCGTTGAGCTTTCGCATTACGGGAGCTTCTCCTATAGAAGGCATCCCCGAGTAAAAGCAGAACTCACAAACTTTACAAATTACTTTCGGTGCAAAGGGGGGCATGAATTGCTGGACGCTGGACGGTGGGAGGCCTTCTACGTCCAGTCAGAAGACGACTTGGAGCACGTGAGCGGCCCGCAGGCGTGCCGGCCGGAGAAGGCCGGCGACCCCTTCTCGGCAGGCTTCTTTCTTTCTCTTGCTCATGTGGTTAAATCTCCTTTTTGCCCTTAGCCATCGACCCTCTAAGCCTCGCAGTTCTGGGTCTTGGGAGCTTCTTCAGGCTCTGAGGGCTTGGGTTTTGGGTTTACCTGACATGGCTGGTAAGTCAGCCGTTCCCGTGGTCTGTGCTTCATCGTGCAATTCGCGCATCTCAACTGCGTGATTCAGCAAGAGGGCATGCAAACTGGTTGCGGGAATCTTCTGCTGCACATCAACGTCCAAGCAGACAACGGAGAACCATGCTTTGGGTTGCGGCCTTAACGTCCTTAAAGCCCACACCCCACCTGCACCCCCCAAACTACCCTCCAACCATAATAGCAGGGTACATAAGTCCCCTTTGTTGAAGGGTGGTTGGGGGGTGCTGGCACATCCTAAAGTCCTTGTTGCCCCCTGGTCAGCCTCCGCTTCAGGACTACGAGCCCAGTGACTTCGACCCATCGCCTGAGATGAGCCTCTGCTCTGACATGGGCGCGGTCCCAAACGCTGAGGAGAACCTTGGGGGGCCGATGTGGGCGATATGTGCAAGTTGTAAACGCCTGTGCTAGCAGTAAGTTTTCGAGAGTAGCACTGACAGCACAATCTGATGGGGGGAGGGATCGAAAACCTGATAGGATCCACGAACCCGAATGCAGACACGTGTCACCAACTTCGGCAAGGAAGATACGTAGTGCAGACACGACACGAGGACAAAACACAAGATCCCGACACGAAGACGAAGACACGATAAACGCAACGGCTTTTGGTCACTTTACGTGAGCTTGTGAACTCCAGACAAGCACTTGAACCGGGGAGCAGCAAGAACATTCTGTAATGAACAGCATTTGGAGCCCTGGAAGATGTAGCAATGCTGTAATGCGGGGATTTCATCGCATCATATGACGCCAGGAGGGGGGGGGGGGGGCAACGCTAGCAAGGAACAAGCCAGGGCCGACCTTAGGAAGAAACAAGCACCTTCGCCGGGGGCCCAGGGGTAGGCGGGGGGGGGGTCTGCTACTGCTATTTAAGCTGCTATCAGCATCTCTGGCTTATTTATGCACACTTCATGCCCTCGGCTACTTCCTGCGTTCAACCTCAATCATACCGATGCCAAGAACCTCGCAGGACCTCGACTCGTGCAAGAAGGCCTGCTACGCGGACAAGACTTGCAAAGCAGTCCAGACCCTTGGGATCCGACAGGGCGCGACATCCACATCTGGGGGGTTTCCGGTATCAGGGGTACCCTTTGTATCCTTTAAGGGCATTCTCTTCTATTTGGGGTATGAAAGGCGTACCCCTTTTTTTGTGAGACGCCCACATGTGATTACATGAGAGTTCCTGAAGCACAGCTTGGTGAAGCTCAGGATTTTGGGAGGACTTTGCCACATTGGCATTGGCGAGAACGACTGCTTTGGTGATGATGTGGCGCCTTGTTCCAGTCCAATGCTCTACTCGGGCTGCAGGGCTTTAGGTCTTCGGCAAGTGGAGTTGGAAAGGTTCTTCAGATCTCTCTTGGCTTGTCACCCTGAACCTTCCATCTCGCTACTTTCTATGGACTTACAGATGCGGCCAGACCCCAACTTCTGCGGAAAATGAACCTTCGAATAAAAGCCATGTTAAAAGCAAGATCTAGCTCCTAGACCCTGCCGACTCACTTGGATCCGACAGCTCTGAGGAAACGTCGCTCCGAAAGACACGGTCAGCGGCCGAGGCCGCCGCAACGCAATGTGGCGCTGCGAGAGGCATCCAGAGCACCATGGAACAAGCTCGTGATGCATGTCAGGGGAATCAGGCACCTTGCCTGCCAAGGTAACAACCCCCCAAACCCCAAATCCCAAACCCTAAACCCTTAGCCCTAAACCCTAAACCCCAAACCCTAAACCCTAAACCCTGGACCCTAGACCCTAAACCTGCAAAAGGTTTTGAGAAGCAAAAGAGTGTCTCAGAGGGCTCGTTTCCAGTGTGTGCCCTGCATAAACCGTTTCATAAACCCAACAAAAGCCTTGAGAACCCGAAACCCAAGCATGCAAATACCTGACCGGGGCTGCTTCGGCGAAGCACTCATGACTCATGACGGATTCTCCCATCAGAGCCAGAGTCTCATCATAGCCCAAATTGGCCAACACCAGCTTGGGCACTCTGCACCACTTGCGCTTGAGGAATGCGTGAATGAAGCCCTGACGCACGCCAACAAGGCCAACAGTCCTGAAATTTTCTCGGGGGGTTCAGGGTGTAGATGGGTGTAGATGGGTTCAAATGGGCTTAGATGAGTATGTGAGCATTGAATGCAGGCTTGCTGAAACATCATGATTTCCGCTGCGATACTTGTCAAGTCTCATCAGCTAGGAATGGTAGCGTGGCGTGCGCTCCTGAGGGGTATTGCCATAGACGCTGGCCGTATCGCAGTTCTCTTGCTGGGTGACAGCTGGGGAAAGAGCGCACGTACTGATTGTGGGAACACAGAGAGCACAGATTGGAAAGTGCTGGTTGAGGATTGCGGGGCTGCCCGGGTTCGAGTTTTCGATCAACTAGAGCAGATCGCCCGATTGAATCAGTCACTGGCAGTTTGTGAGTGGAAGGCGGAGCAGTGTGCGCAGGGACCTGCTTACACCCAGCTGAGTCTGTCTTCCTTGTGTCTGGGTTTCGCACTCGGAGCTTTAGCCATTCTAGCGTTGCAGGCTACTCGGCTGCAGGCTGCCGTTTCTTTACCGGTCACCAAGGGCTGCCCTGTCGCTGCGGGTCAGGCTGTGACTTGGGCTCGTGAGGGCCTGAAACGTCGAGAGATCTCAGAGACTGACGACTCCGATGGCGGCTGCATCGAAGAGGTGGCTCGCGCGCGAGAGCGCGCTCGTTCGATTCAACAGTGATCCTACCTTACTTCACTGGCGTCTAGTTCTGGTGTGCATAACTGGAGATCGATGCCTAGTTGCAACGCCAGACCGCGACATTAACGACACAGTGCTTGAAGTCGGGGACACCTTTTCCGAAGTCATCCGAATGGATGGCGACCGCCTGCCAAGGAGGATACGGGAGCGAGACACCTACTTACCCCGGCACAGTGGGGGAGGCGAGCTTGGCACAGATGAGTTGAGATCGCTGACCGCCCAAGCAGAGGCCATGGTTGATAGGATAGCTCCTGGAGACGCACGCAGGCGGGTCACTGGAAAAGTGGGTCGTGACGGCCGGGTGCATGGCTTGGGTTTGGCCAGCGGGGCTGACCCCCAGTCAGCCGATAGCCGGCGAGACCGCGACTGCTGGATGGTGGTTTTCGACGATGGAGGCTCCAGTGTGGGAGAAGAGAGATCGCCAGCTTTGGAGAATGGGTCAGAGGTGGTCCTTGGTGGGGAACGCTATGCCATCTGGCAGGAGGATGGACGTGTTTTCATGGCCAAGCAGGTGCATCGCGGACGGTTGGCCGCTCTGGCCGACCTGGCCAAGCAGTCAACAAGCGCGGCCCCAGCCGCAGAAAGAGACGTCCGCATCCTGCCCGTGCTCTTTGATGTGGCCGATGAGAGATGGCGAACCATCACAGAGGCTTTGCCGGAACTGGATGAGGCGGACTTTGCGGACTGGCCCCTCCAAGGGCCCCGGACCCTCTTTCGTGACCTGCGTCAACTGCGTAGGCTAGGCACCGACTTCGTTCAACACCACGAAGGTTGGGTGAGGAAGAGCGGGATCAGGCCGACTGACCGCTCGGTGCACGAACACCTCGCCATCTGCCGCGCCCTGAATCTTCTCGTGAGTTATGACCAGCTGAACATCGTCAACATCGCTGGGGCGGAAGCTTTGAACCGCAGACGCACGCTGATCGAGATGGCGCACCAGGGACGGCCAGAGGCTCCTTCTTATGCAGGAGCTGAGGAGGTGTTAGGGGTCCGTGAGAGCACGGACGGCTCGGTGGTTGACCCAGCCATCACAGCCTACGCTGCGAAGAGGCAGGCAGCAAAGGCCGAGATCCAGAAACAAAGGCGGCTGGCGGCGGAGGAGCAGCGGGCCGTGAGCGCAAGTGACGACAAGAACTACAAGGGAGGCGGCCGGGGGTCGGGCAGAGGCGCGGCCCCCAAGGATGAGAAGTGAGCAGCGCCCTGGTGGCAGCGAGGGCGCCGCTGCCACAGCAACCAGGGCTTTTAGCGCCGCCAGTTTTTCCAAGGAGCCGCGGAGATGCTTTGGGGAGGTGTTTCCACTGCCTGTCCCTGCTGAGAAAGGATTTCCTGGACCGGTGGGGGAGCTGAGATCGCGTAGGTCAAGGCAGAGGGTGGCGCGGCGTAGACAGAATCTCCTCGACGAGGTCGACACAATCTCGGCCTTGAACATCCTTGCAGGGTTCGACAACCGAGCCTTGTGGCCTGAGAGTCCAAGCAATCAGGCACAGTTTTCTGTTTTGTCTAAGGTGAGAGTGGCGCATCAAACTAGGCCAGGTCCACCCGAGAGTGAGAGTGCCCAGGCAGCGCTTAGGCAGCTGCTGGCAAAAAGGGCCGGCTATTCAGTCGGCCCAGGTGCTTTAGCCAGCTTCGTCAGGGAGCGAGTCTCGCTCCCGAGAGGGCAAGGCGAACCGGTGCAGCTTGTGGACATCCTTCCTGCCGCAGAGAGAAGCAGACTGGAGCGCTTCCAGACTGAGATGCTCCTGAGCCCGGAGGAGGCGGCAGGGGTGATAGAAGGGGGACAAAGGTGGTGAGTGCCATGTTGACCCTGTCCTTGCCCGAAATCCGGCGGTATACCATCAATTCATCCATGATCTCTACGATTGCAATCTGATCGGCTTCACGGATACTCCTAAAATCCAGGTTGGTCTATTTGTGGTGACAAAGAAAGCGGACAAGCAGAGGTTGATAATAGATGCCAGGCCCACAAACCGCTTTTTCAGAACACCACCTTCTACACTGCTGGGTTCCGTGGAGTGTTGGGGGAGGATGGAGGTATCGAGGGAGGGTTTCTTTGTGGCGCAGGAAGATGTGAGGAACTTCTTCTACAGACTTGGCATATCGAAGGAGCTAGGTGAGTATTTCGCGTTGCCGGAGGTCGATGCAGACCTGTTGGCGCAAGAAATGGGAGAGCTGCCGAGTGAGGCGAGCGTCCTTGCTTCCAAGGGTCATCGTATTTATCCTCATTTGCGAGTTCTGCCGATGGGGTTTTCCTGGGCATTTCACTTAGCCCATGAAGCTCATGTCCATCTCGCAAAGGAGGCCCTTCCTGGCGTCCCCGTGGCGGTCGACAGAAGGCCTGCTCCAACTTTGACGCCGCAGGCGAGGGCCGAGAGTGCGATGATGATTTATGCAGACAACAACAATCATGTGGCACTCTCGAGCAAGAGGGTGTCATCAGACCAAAAGATCATGATGGACAAGCTGCATGAACACGGACTCGCTACGCATGATATCACGGAAGCGTCCCACATTGCTGAAAGTCTAGGCGTGAGAATCGATGGGCTAGCAGGGCGAATCACTGCCACTCCAGCACGTGATTGGAGGCTGTGGCGAGCTCTGCAGGCCCTGGAGGCCAGGCCCTTCATTTCCGGTGAGGAGCTGCAAGTGGTGCTGGGTCACATGACTATGAGAAGCATGTTGAACAGATCACTGTTGAGTATCCTCAGGCATGCCTATGTCTTCGTTGCGCAGTGCTACAAGAAGAGGACACGGCTGTGGAGAAGCGTTGCGTTAGAGATGTATCTTTTCCGAAGCCTCATGATTCTGGGAGAGGCGAATGTGATGGCTGAGTGGTCAACAGACATGTTCTGCACTGATGCCAGCCTCTCTGGTTATGCTGTTATGTGTCGCCAATGTCCACAGGAGATCCCGATGGAAGTGCGCAGCTTCGACGAGAGGTGGCGCTTCAAGAGGACCGAGGGGACACGGGTGGCACCTAGGAGAGCAGCGTTGGAGGGCATGGATGTTTTTGAAGATGTAGAGACAGTCTTGCCGAATTGTATGGGGGAAGTCCGTGGGCCACATGCAATACAGAGCAGCTTTCCAGAAGTACCTCAAGGGTTGATGGAGCAGTCGCATTGGCAGTGCCTCTGGGCGGCTCATATGCAATTCTCAGAGCCCATACATCAGATCGAGGCCAGGAGTGTCCTATCTTTAGTTAAACATCTGGCAAAAGATCGGCGATTCCACAACAGGAGGGTAGCGGCTTTCAACGATAACATGGGGGTCGTGCTTGCTGTTTCAAAGGGTCGCTGTGCGAGCTATGGCCTACTCCGACTTTTGAGGCGCATCAGCGCGCACCTTTTGGGCACGGGCATTCGCCTGCACCTCAGGTGGGTGCCGTCGGAGGTCAACACCGCAGATGTTGACAGCCGCAGATGGGAGGCGAGCCGGAGCCCAGTCGATGCAAAGAAGGCCAGCAAAAAGGCGCGTGGAGATTTTCAGCAAGAGCGAGGTGGAAATCTCAAACAAGAGGTGCAGACAGCCAGAAGAGACGCCAGATGCCTGGAACAGGGGAAGGAGACTGAGGTCGCCAACAGTGAGTCCAGGGCGAGAGCGCAGAGTGGAGTGCCTAGGTGGTCTCAAGAAGATGGTGGATGCGCACAAGAAAAAGAGGCAGCGGGCCATGAAGCGGAAAATGAAGTACGTGAAGAGAATGAGAGCCACGCGCGGGGAGAAGTCGATCCTGGAGGTGAACAGCGTGAAGGAGCCACAGAGGAAAGACTACTCGCGTCGGCTTCAAAGGTTCTTTGCGTTTGCCGACCACTTCGAGTTCGACATCACGACGGGGAAAGGTCTCGACGAAGTGCTGTGCGAGTACAGCGATGCGCTCTTCCTGGAAGGGGAAGATGTCAACAGTGGTCAGAAGCTGTTGGCGGCCCTAGAGTTCGACATGCCGGAATGGCATCGCGAAGGTGCCCTGAACTTGCCAAGGTTCAAGCGGGCGCTGAAAGGTTGGCGCAAGCTGGCGCCGCCCCAGAGCCGTCTTCCGCTTCTCGAGTTCCTGAAGGGAGCTATCTCCGGAGTGATGATGTTCTTGAAACAGAAGGAGATGGCGCTGATGAACGAATTCACGTTCTCCACATACGCCAGGCCGGGAGAGACATTCTTGATGGCCGTGGATGTGGTGCCGGGAAATCGAGACTTCGAGCGAACCGTGGTGCTCCTCAGCCCTCTGGAGCGAGGGGAGTCGTCAAAGGCAGGGGTCTACGACGAGACTTTGATCCTAGACGACCAGCGGGCCCCATGGCTGGAGAAGCTGTTGAGGGAGCACGCCACAGCGCAGCTGCAGAAGTCTGGGAAGGACGCTCATCTGTGGACGTTCACGGCGAGCGCCTACCTGAAGACATGGCGGCTGTGTGTGGAGATCCTCGACATTGGTTCCCTGGCGCTGAGTCCATATCAGAACAGGCACGGTGGAGCAAGCCGCGACCATCTGCAGAAGCTCAGAAGTGCTATGGACATACAGAGACGAGGTCGGTGGTCTTCAGAGACCAGTGCCCGCATCTACGACAAGCCAGGACTCCTGCAGAAGGCGATCAACAAGTATCAAGGGGATTACCAGGCTTTCGGCGAAGATGTGAGGAGAAACTTCGAATTCTACTACCGCAATGGCTTGAGAAAGCTGCCGGCGAAAGCGATGGCCAGAGCGAAGCTTTCAAAGGTAGCAGCTTCCTGAGCTTGTTTGGAGGGGAGGCAAAGGGCGCAGAGTTTGTAGCAAGTCAAGGAGGCATTGCCATGGTGGTGGATTTTGCGCACTCATCTCAGAATGATTTGTCCAAGCCAAGGGCGTGGAACGATTTGTACAAGATACTTCCTGATTTTGATTTTGTGGGGGTTGATTTGCCTTGCGAGACCTTCAGCCGGGCGCGCCGGGCTCCTGCTGACAGCCCCATGCCTCAGGCCTTGCGGGGAGACAGTCCGAAACATATCTTTGGCCTGAGCATGAAAGACGCCGAAAAGGTGCGGAAGAGCAACAACATGGTTTGGGGTGCCATTAGGCTGATCAAAAAGTCCCTCAAGATGAACATCAGTGGCTATTTGGAGAATCCACTTACTAGTAGACTGTGGAAAGTCCCTGCCTTGCAGAGATTACTACGTGATCCACGAGTACACTTCATCCCTGTCGATATGTGTCGTTACAATAATCCTTTTCGCAAACCCACCGGACTCCTGGTCTGGAACACCGCACCTTTTCAAATGCTAAGATGCAGACCTGGTTTTTGCGTCAGGACCAAACGACGACATGTGCAACTCACGGGCGTCGCCTACGGCAAGTTCCTCACGCGTCAAGCCCAAGCCTACAGTGCCAGTTTTGCTGCCAGTCTTTTGACGTGTCTGAAAACACATAGGCATGCGCTGAACATAGCTCCCACCCACCCACCCAAGTGAGCCATATTGCTTATGGGGGTGGGAATTGTGCATAAATGCTTGAGAAGTCATTTTCCGAGGGAGGTGCTGGCCAGTGACGCATCGCTCGCGAAGCTGGCGAGCCGTACAGGAAGCACCAAACTATGGATGGACACGAAAGCTCGTGCACATAAAATCTGGGAGTGATGTGGAAGCATGTGAGCATTGAATGCAGGCTTGCTGAAACATCATGATTTCCGCTGCGATACTTGTCAAGTCTCATCAGCTAGCCCTCCCTCCCTCCCTTTGGGGAATTGTGCATAAATGCTTGAGAAGTCATTTTCCGAGGGAGGTGCTGGCCAGTGACGCATCGCTCGCGAAGCTGGCGAGCCGTACAGGAAGCACCAAACTACTGATGGACACGAAAGCTCGTGCACATAAAATCTGGGAGTGA